TAAGCGAACTATGCGGGCGCGTAGGGCCCGAAAGGGGCTCCCGCAGTCTTTAAAATGCTACTGAAAAAAGGGATTGCGAAAACACAGAAGATAGAAATAGTCCAGAAAAACGCTTCGCTATATATGGAAATAATAAATGCTATACATGGAAATAATAAATGATATAGCTTTATGGCCAACAATATTAACAGATGCTATTATTGATCATATTCTTAACACAAACCATACTTTCTATACTTTTTGTATAACAAAATTCATTCATAAAGAATGGAACGTATCTACCGTCTTATAGGGGGATCGACTGTATATTAAACATTAACTATAGACAATTATATTTAGACTATTTAATTTGACAATGTTATAAAGGTCAAATTAAATGACAAAAACTTACCACAAACCAAATATCGTTGCTATCATTTAACGTTTTTGCGCAACATTTCTTCTCTGCTTTAATAATCTAAAAATAATAAATAGAAAAGCAAATACGTAAAAAAAAAATTCATTGAAATTATTTAAATTGAAAATTAATATATTATGCATTATGTTATGCTTTAGTTTAATATATTTAAATTAAAGATCAATAATTATTTTTTTAGAATATGCATAATAAGTTAATGCAATTAATGCTTAATAATAATAATAGTCTAAGCTTATTATTGATAGCATAAAAATATCAAATCTATATTATGTAATATTTATTATTTATAAGATAAAAAGTCTTATAAAATGTGTAATAGTAACACATTGTAAATTTAAAAACACATTTAATTTGTAAAAAGTAATTAATAATAATTATTTTAATTTAAAAATTTAAATAATAACGAAGTGATCTAAATTAATTATTATATATTATAATAATTTTTAGATATTTTTATATAAAAATAGTTTTGATAAATAATATTTAAATTATGAAAATATTAACCGCAGAATTTTTAATTGTTATTTAGAATAAGAAACGAAAAAAAGTTGACAAAAAATTCACTCACTTTTTCTATAGTGCGATTTGAACTGGTCAAACAATGGAAATATTGTTCAATACATTTCATTTCGTTATCTGTAATTTTGAAAATTGACTTTAAATAAATTGACAGTGGGTTTTGCTATCGATAACGCTTGTATGAAGCCAGGCCTTCTTGTGCCATTTTTTTAAACACAAAATGTGTACAATATTTCTTTATTAATAAAATACACTCTTAAAGATTTGTTTTTATTTTTATTTATTTATTTTCTTTTGTATAAATATTAATATACAGGTTAACAATCACTACAGGCCCCAAAACTTTTACCGTGATCGGGTAAAAATTCCAGCTCCCCTCTCTCGATTACCCTTTTCCCGTGTAATTAAATTACAATATTAAAGTAGGAGGAAATGAAACATTTTTATAAATGAATAAAATATAAATTTAGTTTTTTAAGTCTAAAGTTTTATATTATATATTTTTTTTCTGTAGTATAATTATGTTTTATTTTAATTAAATACACTTATTGTCATAAAAATTAGCACACCAAGAAGGAGTTCTTAGGATCGAACGAAATTATACTTGTGTGAGTGTAATTATGATAAGTGATTACAAAATAATAGCAAAAGATCATTTATTGCAGGAAAAACTATACATTAAAGGCGGTTCTAGTACGTTGTTGGGCCACATCTAGCCTGAGTACACGATGTGATACGAGTGGACATGGAGGCATACAACTGCAGTATGATATCTTGTGGTATCTCAGTGCATAGTTGCTGCAAGCGATCCTCTAGTTCGGCCAAACTCCTAGGCTGTCCAACTTGTTTGTCCCAGGTAATCCCACACATGTTCGTTCGGTGACAAATCAGAGACCGGACAGGCCAGGAAAGTGGTGGCAATGTGGCGGAGGCAGTCCTTGTTATGTGTGGTCGAGCATTGTCCTGTTGGAATAGCTCTTGGGAGCCCTGCCATGAGAGGCAACACGTGGCTGCAGGATGTCACTAAGCTACTATTGGGCTATCATGGAAGGACCATGACAGCCCAGTGGTAGACAGCCATATACGACAGTCGGTCACTATTAGAGGTGACCGGCTGTCGTATATGATGACACCCAGACCATCACACCAGCTGTGGGACGGTATTCCACTCCAAAGCGTAGGCAGGATTGAGGCGTTCACCACGGGGCCTCCAGACACGAACGCTTCCATCCAGAGCCGTAACTAGGCAGGTGCAACAGGTGCACCCGCACAGGGCCCACTTAGAAGGGGAGGACCCAAACTGCTGTTCGCAAGAAACTATATTTTTAAATTTAAAATTTTTCCGCCTTTCTGCAGCATGGTTTGGCGATTACATTTCGCCTTACTTAGACCCTAGATGTCTGCTCGCCAGTGTTCCCAATTGTGGCGACTTTTAGAGGGACGTAGTGAGGTAGCGGAGACCTCAGACAAATCAGCCAAAAGTAGCGACTTTTGAGATTTTTTAATTTATTTTTTGAGAAATTTAAATTTATGTTTATAGTTTTCAAATTTACAGATTTTTCTCTACTTTATAGAGCTCTCTGGCAACTACTAATATTATTACGATATACAAAACTGTATTTCTAGATTTTTCTACAGTGTGCAGAGCTAGAAATCTGTAAAGGTAACATTTTGTAACAAAAATAAATCTGCCCGAGGATTTTTTTAAAATTACTAAATTGAAAACGGTAACTCCCGAATAAAATCTTAGTCTCGAGGTTGTAAAAGGCGTGCAGAAATTCTGACATCATTTTTTGCTTTATAGTGGTACGCATATGTGGTGTATACCTGAACGGCGGATTAAGCGGTAAGCGAACTATGCGGGCGCGTAGGGCCCCGAAGGGGCTCCCGCAGTCTTTAAAATGCTACTGAAAAAAGGGATTGCGAAAACGCAGAAGATAGAAATAGTCCAAAAAAACGCTTCGATATATATAGATACATGGAAGTAATAAATGATATAGCTTTATGGCCAACAATATTAACAGATGCTATTATTGATCATATTCTTAAAACAAACCAAAAAGTATAGAAAAGGGATTTCTTAATAAACGAAAAAAAAGAGTTAAGATAATGGAAATAGATAAAACACCAGATGAAGGAAGTAACTTGACACCCGAAAAATTATTTAAAATACAAATTTACAGTGTTCTTGACACTCTATTGTGTCAAATAGATTGGCGTTATGAAAAAATGAAAACTATCTGTGACGATTTTTGCTTTCGCTGTGGCTGGTCTTTACAATGCATGAGTTTGCTGATTTAAAAAAATCGGCTGCAGATCTCGCTATTAAATATAGCAAAGATTTAAAAAAGTACGAATTCACAAGTGAAATTGAAAGTTTTAATTTTGAAGTAACGACTCTTATACAAAATATAGAAACTGCATCTCCGCTTAATATTCTACAGGCTCTTCATGATTTTGGTTTAATTGAGTCTTACCCAAATATCAATGTCGCTCTTCGAATATTTCTAACTCTTCCCGTTTCTATTGCTTCGTGCGAGAGAAGTTTTAGCAAGTTAAACTTAATAAAAAATTATTTAACATCAACTATCAGACAAGAACGATTGTCCAAAATATTTCTATTATTTCAATAGAATGCAACATTGTTAAAAATATTAATTATGAAGGTGTAATTAATGAATTTGCTGAAATGAAAGCCAGAAAAATTCAATTAAAATAAATCTTATTAAAAATCTATTGTAATGTATTTGTTTTATTATTTTCCCAAAACAAAATAAATTAAGGGGCCTAAATGCAAATTCTTGCACAGGGCACAGGAATGGCTAGTTACGGCTCTGCTTCCATCGATAGTGCCCAAACTGAATCTGGATTCGTCGCTGAAGACGACCCGGTTCCATTCCGTTGCGGCCCAATCCCGTCGGGAACGACACCACTCCAAACGGAGGTGACGGTGGGTGGCTGTCAATGGCAGTATACGTAATGGCCGTCGCGATTCCAAATGTTCCTCACCTAGGCGCCTCGAAATTGTATGGACAGACACGGGAACCTATAATAATGGCGCCATCTGTGTCCGGATGGAGGACAACGATACGGTCGACTGTGTGCGTGTTTGTCGGAGGACCTCAAGCAAGCAATCCTCTCGGCTAGCGGTCTGTCGAAGGCGTCCTGAGCCTGGGCACCGTGTATGTAAACCCGTTCTCATCCATTGATCCCAACACCTCACAGTGTTGTCAGAACGGCCTAGGTGGCGGGTCATTCGGCGAGATGATCATCCGGCTCCTTTCATCCTGATGTTAGTTGTTCACATGGTCTTCAATTGTGACGTAAAGACATCTCTAGTGATAGTGTCCCTCTGCAACAGGTGAACTACAAATAGGAAGTTTTTGCGCGGTTTATTTACAGGCCAAGGGGACACACTTTAACGTCCTCTGCTGACATTATGCAACGAGCTATCACGCTGTAACTGTAATCATTTCGATATCTGCTTGAGACTTATCTGCATACCAAGTTTCGCATCGATACGACAACTCCTTGTTGGTGCGCTAATTTTTATGGCAATGAATGTATAACTCGTTAAAATATATATTAATATATTAATTTAATTAAAAATTTTACTTTTTATAATAACAAGAAATAATAAAAATAAGATGAGTTCTATTCTATATATNTAAAATTGCATAATTTATTATATAAGAAATAATCTCTAAACTTGATTTATAATCGTTAATTTTATCTTTTTAAAAGTTTATCTTATTAAAGATATTTTTTAATTATTGTTGAGAATGCGATATATTTTACAATAAACTTATTGTATATATGTGTATACTTGTATGTATTCTTATATATTTATAGACTATATAGTTTACATTAACGTTATTAACGTTAATGTAAACTATATAGGTTCATAATAATTCATATTAAGTAAATTTAATTTAACCTAGCGGAGAGCCAGGGTCAAGGGCATGGGTCCCTCAGTTTCATCTCTCATCTTATATGTCGTTTGAAGAAATTTGGCGATATTTCGTTGAGTCAGACAATCGGTTATTTTGGAATTATAAATATAAATTAACATTCGCGACATTTAAATAGGCTAATAAACAACTGACAGATTCTAATCCGGATAATATTACTGGAACGGCGAAACAAGAGATTGACATGTCTCATAATATCGATAGATGGCGTCACAATATTGTTTCTGTGTTAATATTTCTTGTGTTTTTCAACAGGAACATTACGAAACTTGTCTGAGATTTTTTTACTTTCCCTGTTGTTCTCCAAGAGCGAGGCCCCGGGCGATTGCCCTGCTCGCCACCCCCTAAGGCCGCCACTGCAGAGTACGAAACTTTTTTTCGACCCTACAGAAACAATGTTTATGTATATTTATTATATCCATTAATCAGACAAATTAACTTAAACGTTTTTTGTTACAAATGGAATTGAAATGACAAAAAAAAAAAAATTGAATAACAGTTTCCCCAATATATATGGGAAAAGGGTAGAAAATTAAATACTAAAATAAAAGAACACAAAATAAAACTACCAAAACTCTGCAAATAAAGACTGTGAAATAAGTTTATTTACAGTAAAAATTGTAAAATCCGAAAATTTTCTAAACAAAAAATTAATTCGGTTCAATTGTTATGTATTCCATAGTCATGCAATTCTTCCTGTGGTTCACATGTGGTTGTTAGCTAACAGCAGATATCTTGTGGTAAGCAATTGGAAACAAGCAGTAAAATCTAGTAGAAAGTTTAAAGTTTAAACATGTTGCAGTTTTATTGTATTGGAAGTGCTGATTATATTATACGTACTAACTGTGCTCTATCTCTGAATCTGTATATCAAGATTTAAATATGTATACGACAGTGGCGTGGGGTGACATTTGATGATAGGAAAGATGTGTTTCCATAAAAATTATAAATAAATACTGGAAATGACAAAAGTATATCTTTGTTTATTTATTTTAATTTTAAAATAAATAAACAAAAATATAAGAACTTGTTTACGAAAATAATCACACAATATGTATTTATATTTTAGAAATTACAAGGGAAGCGATACTTCCACAACTTCCATGGACTGCACGCCACTGGTATACGAGCATCCATAAACGTAAT